TTCTTATATAACAAAAACTTTAGTGACACAAAAGTAAAATAGTTCTTTTATTTTAAAAGGCTTCTCTTGTGGGAATGAATGTAGGCTTGCATTCATACAAAGACTAAAAGAAACGTCCTCATTTTTTTGTTTTTTTTATTGGAAAAAAGTACATCCAAATTGTGCATGTGACAGAGTGCATTGCATAAGAAAAATTGGCAGGTTAAATGTAAAGGAATCATTAAAAAAAAGAAGAAGCTATAGCTGATTACAGGAGTGCAGTGGCATAACCAGTACACCAGACACTTGCTGTTTCACTGAACTTTAAAGTTAAAGGAATAGAAGGAATGAAACCACCCTACACAGAGACAGTCAAAACACAATAGAAAGGACAAGGAGAAAAAATAATAATAATCAAAAAACACATCTGGATATACTGAAAATGAGAAATGATACAAAAATACGACACAGTTCTTAAAACACAATACCAGCTCACCATTTGGTCTGGGGAAAGAAAACCAAAACAACTATGGAAAACAGGATGGACTAGTTTAAACAACGGCACAATAACAGGCTTAAAAATCACATAAGAGATATGTAGGAAGCTTAAACCAGGATAAAAGAAAATAGCGCTTTGGCTGAATATTTTCGCTGCAAAAAGGGATGAAATTAACAAGAAAGTTGAAAATGCTTTAACTGGTACCTTTGAAGAAAAGTGTGACTGCACTGCATTCGGGTTAAAGAAAGCAACTCTCAAGTATTCTTCATGGATTTATGCTCACAGTGCTTAAAGAGACAATTGACATCAAAAATCAAATTTACATATTTGCTTAGCTGACTGACACCGTGACAGGATGTAAACAAACAGGTTGTGCCGTGTTTGTTGGACACATGGTAGTACGCCTGAAAAAAAAATGTATATTTGATTTTGAGGGTGAATTGTTCCTTTAATGCAACATTGATAAAATCACACAAGCACCTCATCAGTGCAAAATAAAAAGGTCCTAGACTACAGTTATTTTAACCTTGGAAATAAACTAGGTCAGGCTGCTTGCCTGTTTTTTACAAAGAAAAATCCGTAAGGATAAATGGTTGGCATGAGTCGAGTTTCATAGAGACTTCAGTGATTCCCTCTTTCTGACACTAGAGGGTATGAGGGAGTCAGTTAACTGATGTAAAAGAAATGGTTTTGGAATGAGGCATATCTTTTTAATCTACAAATATTTTTGAAAAATGTGCAAATACAAGGCAAAATGTATATTACATTTTGCAATATCGATCACACTCACTTTTGTAAATAAACACATTTAGTTACGGTTAACAAGGAGTCATAAAATGTGCTTTTCACACTGCCCTTAAAGCAGATGATCTTAGATCTTAGAAAATAAAATGTCCAAGTGTGGTGTCACAGAGAAAGGGCTGAGCACCTTACGTTCATCTGTGTAAAAATAAGTGTAATAAACCAGGCGAGGCAGAAAACCTCATAAACTGCAATACTTCTATGAAGACCAAATCAGGTCATAGGATTCGATCACCGTGTGCAAAGCATCTGAAGCCATTTAAGAATAATAGAACAGCGGCGCATTTAAAAGGATTTGGCATGCTTGTTGCATTGGTGCTGCTATTGTGTGTGGATGGCTTCTTGTCTACCACCTGATACCACATCAGGTCATATTGGGTTACAAAACACCAATGCAAATCTGTACTGCTGCAAAACTTAACTGCAGTCAGCAGTTTAATATGAGCTACCCATTGATCCTTCACTTTGTGTGTCTTCATCACTTTCACAGAGTATTTGTGTGTGTGTGTTTATGTGTTAAAATCTCTTCATTTCTCCACGTGTACTTAACATGCACGCATACTTTTTGTATGTGTATGTGTATGTGTATGTGTGTGCGTGCAGTTAAGGGTGATTTTCTGTATATGGCATGTGCATGTTTTCTGTGTTTTGTACTGAGTCTTTGTGTGTATCTGTATGTTAGATTGGCGCAGGGACCTGGTGCCTTCCTGGTCCAGGTTGGGATGAAAATTTCCGGGAGTGCCAGCGAGTCTCTTTGTACACAAACCAAGCATTGAACGCCCACACAAGCATGTTAAGGTAGCCAAACACCTGGATAATATAGACAAAAAAATAATCATTAGAAATATTTTTTTTATATCAATGCAATATTTAGTAATGTTAAAACCAATATTTTTTTATCTTTCAAACACACAAAGCAGAAACAGATTTCCCGAACATTTGTTGCCATTCCAAACATGCCCTCTGGTGGACAAACGATGAAACATCAATCAAAGGTGCTGCTCCTGTCTATTCTATGCTTTACACATTTTCATTTATTGGCACTTATAAATGCTGATAATCATATATCAGCAAACAGTTAATATCAGCTGATTATTATTTCATCTCACCACAGATATATTGAGGGTCCGCATGTTAGCAAACTCCGTGACCTCACAGGTGATGTTGCTACCCTTACAGAGTGCCAGCGTGCCACTGATGCCTTCAGTGTCTGTGGCACTCTTTACATTCTGCAGGCCTTTAGCCCAGGCGGATGAACACACCAGCCACAGGAAAACCAGGATCGCTGTGATCACAAAGTCCTGGAGAGGAGGGTAAATACATGAACAATTTCAATACATTTCAAATCAGGCCTTGCATCAACTGGGACGATTACAGGAGGCAAGATCAAGACTCACAAAAATGGGTCCAAAGTCAGAGTCCTTGTAGACGTGCATGTAGCCTAAATACACCAGCAGAGCTGCCATGCTGTAAAGGAAGCAGACAATGCCAACACCTACAAAGAACTCCGCCGAGGAGGCCGAGTCTCCCATCATGTGTGTTGTAGTGACAGAGTGGTTACAAAGAGTCGTATTTTTATCAATGAGCGGGAACTGGCTTAACCTGGGAATGATAGAGAATAGACAGAATAAATGGGTAATTTCTTATATAATTAACTTAAACTGTACGTGAAAATTAAATATGTTGAAATGCTCACCTAAATGGGTATTGATACATGGCATTGAGAGTTTCATTACTGCCATCGCCACAGAGGATAGATATGACGTTCTTCCCTGAAAATCCACCGCAGCAGCCAAAAGCAAATATGGCTGTGAGCTGTTTGGACAGTAAGAAGATAGTGGCATGAGAAAAAAGTTATTAATAACATCAAAACCAGGAAAGCATAGGCTCTGGAGAATTTCTAAGTGGTGGGATTATGATCAGCATGTTCAATATAAAGAATTGCCTGAAAAAATACAACAACTGAGCAATTTTTACAGGATCATAAAAGAAGAGTTTCAAGAATTTGAAAGAGAGGATCAAATATTGGGTCAGTGACTTTCTATTTGCCATTGAAAAAAGATACAGAAAAAAACATGACAGCACAAATCAAGTATTTCCTTTAAAGAACCACATCATTTTTTCAAAACGTAAAAATGTGACTTGCATGGTTTCACTAATCCTGCCACTCAGCTCTTAAATTCTTTCTTGCAGAAAAGCATCTGATTCAGCCTGCTGACCATGTGACACTAATGCTCCCCTTTAAACCAACACAAACAGAATTCTTTTAGTGAGGGTGGCTGCCACTCAGCTCAACCTTTAAACAAGGTTAACCAGTGATAATAGAAATCACTGAGCAGCATGATGGGTAACAATGATTTCAAGTGAAAATAGGCACCATGTGTCGTGGAAAGCTTCGTATTTCAGTGCAATAAATAAATAGCTCTTAGATTTATGACTTTTAGATTTTTGACTGCCCTGTGACCACCAATGTTGCATTTAACAGTTAATATGGTGAAGATCACAGCAAATAGAGGCTTCCATGTTTGCACATCTAGCAGACATGCTGCAACGATATGCAATAGTAACTTACATTTGGAATTCTGTATCTGGCTACACGGTAATCTTGAAGTAAAGTTCAATTTCCTTTTTCCTCTGTTTTGGTCTCCACCGACTATTTATGGAAATGTGTGGGTCTTTCTTTGGCTAATAAATATTACACTAAAATTATTATCTAGTTACTAACTTTGCTTGTCTCTTGTGGTAATCTTATATGCAACCATATTTTTGTCCTAAGCTACTTTAAACTGTCTCTTGGGAATGCCCCTGGAAGAGCTGGAGGTGGCAGAGCATTGGGGTGTCTGGGTACTTCTGATTAGGCTGCTGCTCCCACAAGAAGGATGATTTTGTAAAAGGCTGTAAATAAATGATGACAGTGGCTTTTCATGTCTTTAAAAAAAGGGTAATTGAGGAAGCATTCATTTACTCAAATGCTAGTTTCCAGCCTTTTCAAATACAGGACAATGTTAATTCTGTAAGTGCAGTCCCATTGGGTGCGAAATAGGAGATAAAGCAGAGTAGAGTGTTTTTTAGTTACAGTGGTCCCTCGCTATAATGCGGTTCACCTTTCGCGGTCTCGCTGTTTCACAGATTTATTTTTTTTTGGTGGAATTTTGCATGTTTTTTTTTCTTTCAGCACATTGTGTTCTGTGTCCTGATTGGCTGTAGACCATTGTCAATCAATCTCGTGCCGTGTCTCCTGTACAGTACAGAATGCGTTCAGTTTGTCAAGTTGACATAAATCTTTGATCGCTAGTAGTTTGACTCTGAAGAGCTGTACTGTATGTTTGTAACTTTTCTCCCCAACGAACACAACAATGTTAACCAAACGTTTTGCACCCTCAAAGGCAACCGCGGGTGCCTTTGGTTACATTCTATAATACTGGACTTATTTTTTTAATTAAACAACTACAATAGAATGATACACAAAAGCCTGCTGCTTCAGGTATGCAACTCACTCTTTGATCTCTTTTATACCATGTTTTCAAACCCTTTAAATCCATAATTTAGTCCAGATGAGTTTGCAAGCAGGAGGCATAGTACCATTAGCTAAACTAAACTGAGACCAGTGTTGTAACATTGCTTCACAGCCCAGCTAGCTCATATGGCAGCGCATGAGACTCTTAATCTCGGGGTCATGGCCCCATGTTTAAATAATTGAGTGCCAAAGAAAGGGAAGAATTAGTTCTTGCTTCCACTATGAGACTCAAAGCTATGTTGCTGTCAGGCAGTTTATCACTATGTTGATATTTTTCTATGACTATAATGAGAGAATGAATTGGAATGGAATGAATGGAATAAATTCTAGCTGACAAAGACAGGCACGTCAACATTTCCATTTTCCCTCAATCACGTTTCGTATTGATCATCAATACAACCCCAGAAGAGAGAAGGGCTAAAGTTAGAATTGTTTGCTTGTTTTTGTAATGTCAATCTTGACTTAGATGACACCGTCAGCTAGCTTGTCAGGATGGCCGAGCGGTCTAAGGCGCCAGACTCAAGGATAGATACCGTCCACAAAAAAAGGGACTTCTGGTCTGGTCTTGGGGTTTTGGTTTCAATTCCCCTTCTTGCCAAAAATTTTTACTCTCCAATTTCAATCAAGCTGTTTGATTACAACTCATGGAATGATTGACTCTTCTTAAAATGAATCATCAGCTCCTTTGTTTCATGGAGTTTGAGAGGTTTTCTGTCCACCACAATGCAACAATGTTGATTTCCTCCCGAAGATGGGTTTCTTTCCATGTCTGTGAAAGCAGTCAAGGGTGCACAGAGTGAACAGGAAGAGGGCTGAGCATACAACCCTGAGGGGGTGGAGGAGGTTTAACTGCCTGTGCAAACTGTCTGAAGTCTGTTTGTGAAGACATCCAACTGCAAAGTGTGATACTTAACTAGAATGTGCCACTTAGTTCCATGGAGAAACATGGACGAATGCTTAGCTAAAATCAGCACAAGGATTTTTGGAGGGAAATGGCATACTCTGTGAATTTGTTGAGTTTTGAATGAAAACGGAGCCCAGCTTCTGTAAATATGTAGGCACAGTAGTTTCTGATTTCAATCTGTTCAGTGATTCTGAGTCTTATTCATTTTATATCCCTGCTACAGAAAACTGACCATAATTAGAAAGGATAGAGAATAATGTTAGATTAACTCTTATACCAGCCCTCTACATCCTTAGTCACAGCAAAGTGAAAAATACATTGAGATTGTGCAAGTCTTTAGGTGTAGTTGTGATGTCATGAGTGATTTTGACAGCTGTCAGGATGGCCGAGTGGTCTAAGGCGCCAGACTCAAGGATTCACTCCTTCCTCACGAAAGGGACTTCTGGTCTCCAAATGGAGGCGTGGGTTCAAATCCCACTCCTGACATGCCCTTTTTCTTCTCACATTTAATTTACGTTTATAAAACTTTGTGAGTAAAAACATATTGAAAAAGGTTCATCAGCTCTACTAATCTACATCAAATTGCTTTCTTTTAGCTGAAATCAGTAGTCAGATCCTTAGTTTTGTTTTCTGTTAAGCAGTAGGTTGTTTTCTGTGCTCTGTACTACAAATTGCTGATTTCCTCCTGATACAAAGTCTCATTATTGTCACTCTGGATGATGTAGTACATAAACCTTCCCAACAGGTTTCTTTTCTGGGTGCCCCATGATTCTCTGAGTGTGCAGTGCCCTCAATTTCTAACTCACATCCACACCTTGCTTGTTTACTGTGAAGTTGCACTAAAATATATTCTAAGGGGAGGGATGTTCAGTTTTTTAATGATTTATAGCAGGGGTAGGGAACTCCAGGCCTCGAGAGCCAGTGCCCTGCAGGTTTTAGATGTGTCCTTGATACAACACAGCTGATTTAAATGGCTAAACGACCTCCTCAACATGTCTTGAAGTTCTCCAGAGACCTGGTAATGAACTAATCATTTGATTCAGGTGTGTTGACCCAGGGTGAGATCTAAAACCTGCAGGACACCGGCTCTCGAGGCCTGGAATTCCCTACCCCTGATTTATAGCCTGCATGTATTTAATTAGCATCCCATTTAGTTACAGATGCAGTTTGCTAACCCTCTTGATCATAGATGATTTTTTTTAAATAAATGCTTTTTAAAGACCAAACAATCCATTCGTTTTCTTCCACTTATCAAATTCAGGATAAGCAGATGAAGCTACAGCACTCTGAGAACCCAAAGAAGCAGAACATGACATGAAACAAACTGAGGTTCTTCTTCCCCACCATCACCAAATTAATAATACCTGAGATAAAGGTGGATGTGAACTGGCTCTGTATCTCCTTGTACAGGGAGTCTACAGACTGAAGGCCAGGAAGTGGTTTGCATCATGAAAACAAAGAAATGGCCTTTGAGCCCATAGAGAATGTTTCCTTATACAGAAAAACATACAATAAAATCGGCCCATTTAGGAGGACACACCAACTAAAACCTTTACAATACTTCAAACTCACTTCCTGAATTCTGTTTTGTCAGCAAAACTGTATCACACACGGTCACGCTGCAAAGTGCTTTCAACGGGGGCAGCTGTCCTTTGACGCTTTATGTACACCACAAACCCCCACACCTCGAGACTTCTCTCCAGATGTTTCTCCAGATGTCACTGACTGCCACTTCCTGTTTTTTTTCTCTTTTTTTCTTGGCTAAAATTACATACTTCTCTCAAATTGTCTCTGCCTTTATGAACTACTGCAAGGGCCAGCATAGCCCAAACACACATTGGCATCTTCTTAAAACACTGTGACTCTCTAAAAACTGTGGCAACACAGCAATACCTTATCAGTCCTTAGTCTCCATTTGTTTGGCATCCAAAACATCTGCAAACCCCTCAGTGCCAAATTATAGACATTCCTGAAACTAGAGCTCATAATCGAGCTGTGAGGGAGAATAAACAATCCACACACACAGCACCTATTCATAATACGCAGAAGAAGCTACCATTTATTAGTTTTTTTGTATGTTATAAAAACGACCTGAACTGATAAGGAAAGAGAAAGTGCTTGCAGAAGGAGGGGTCTGTACTTTGACAAGCTGTTAAGGAAAGACAAATTTCCCAAAAAGTTAGAAACGTTGGCAGAAAAGCGGTATAATCAGCACTTCATTTCTCACACAGTAGTCGCAGAGCTCTGGTCAGTCTGACCACGAATCCCAAATCCACTTGAGTGTGTGCACGCCTACTCGTGTCACTGTGTTTCCCTCCAGAGGCCCTGCACAAACTGGCTCTCCATATTTAGCCAGAGAAATGTGGTGGAGTCACGAGTCCATAAAGAGAGAGAAAACGCTTTATTATCATTCTTATTAAACAACGATGAGGGAATGGGGGCATCCTTGTAGCGTTTGTTATGCTGAAGACTCCTCCCTGTGTCCTACTGTGTGGGAGATAACATCTTGGGTGGTACGACTGTTCAGGACGTGCCAGATATGAGTACAAATAAAGTGGCATTTGATTCAATAAACAATTTATAAGGGAGATGAATTCTGGATAAAAAAACCTGTTTGATAACCTTCAGTTTTCATGTTACATTAAATTTTGTTCTTAGATCTACTGAACGTGCTATCACCTGAAGGCAGGATACTTTCTGTAGGCTGTCTGTAGGATTGTGTGTTTAAGAGTTTGCGGGGGATGCACACACACACACACACACACACACACACACACACACACACACACACACACACACACACACACACAGGATGTAGTGTTTGTCACAAAAAGTGTATCCATCCATTCTTTGTTGCTTATCAGAGTCTGGATTGTAGAGTCCAAGTCCAAGAAGATGCCCCAGCCAACTCCTTCAGCTCTTCCGGAGATTGGTCAGTGGGGGGGCATTCCAAAGTCAACCAAGAGATGTAATCTTTCCCGCTTGTCCTAGGAGCTCCTCCCAGTAGGACGTGCCCAGAACACCTTTCACAGAATAACCTTCATACTGTGTCCATGTCCTCTCCTGGACTATTAGCACCATCATGTCGGTTAAACCTCTTTATTATTGTGTGAATACCTGCACACGTTTCATCATCTAGCCCCACGTAAATGAGAAATGACTTTGTGTTGTATAAAACCAACACTTTCTGAGTCAGATGACTGAGTGTTACTGTTGCCATAAAGCTCTTCCAGCCTGTGTGTGTTATGAAAAAATAGAACAGCTGAGGGAAAGCGTTGCCGGGCTGGATTCCTGACCCAGTTATGCAGAGAACAACTGATCGCTGGACTTTCCGCAAGAAATCTCCTGCATGTTTAAGTGAGTGTGCGTGTAACTGAAACGTTTCAGCCACAAGCAGTCACTCGGAGGTGAATTATTGGTAAAAGATGCATTAATATGTAACTGTGTTGTCTGAAGGGCAGGCAAGTCCAGCTGCACTAATCTGCACCACTTCAGCAGACTTTCTTGTGTCCTAGAAAAATGCTGTACACATTTGTCTAGAGGCCTTACATTATTTCATTCTAACCATATTAGTGTTTTTATCTTATTTCTTCTAGTGTTATAAGGAACAACAATTAACCTTACACATATATATACGTTCTTCTTGGCTTAAATTCAAACCTCAACCAATGTTTAATCAAGTTGTAGTCATGCTTTTGAGGCTTAATCTAATAATCTGCTATAACGTTCTAACTAGTGTTTTTCTTTCTTCTGTAGGGAGAAGGGGAAACCCAAGAATCAAGGAAGAACTGGACCTCCCTGTCCTGTGGGTAGGACCCACACTCTCCCTGCAAACTCAGAAAATACGCGTACAATAGTTTGCGTCCAACTTACCCACTCCACCAGTTTGACGAAGCCGAGGGGCTCCTTCAGGGGCGACAGGTTTAGTCGAAATCCGGTCATCATGATTGTGCTTTTCTGATCCAAAATCTTTATCCAGCTGTTTCTAAGCTGTGGATGTTGCTCCAACAAGGGAAGGAAAAGGGGGAGTAGACAGAGTGACGTGGTCTCTACTGCTAACGCTGCAAAAAAACAGGGAGCAGATTCAGTTTTACAATCCAACTTCTCATCCCACCAAAAAGGAGATCCAGTGTCTCTAGCGTGGAAGATAAAACGTTCCACTCGTTTAATAATCTTTAAAAAAAACAAATCTTAATTTGAATGTCCTTATTCGTCATCTTTTTTTTCTTTTTCTTTTTTTAAATTTCCAGTATAGATCTGCTCTGCGCTGGTGCTGATGCTCAGATGGAGCGGACACGCGCGTAAAGAGTGCCAAAACTCGCTTTGCCTTTGATCAGAACGCGTGCCGTGTATTTGGTTACAGGAAAATCATGGCTAAAACAAAAGAGAAAACCTTTTTAGTTTGGGGGGGTTTTTTTGTTGAGAGAAGCGTACTTTCCCCCGAGCCAGGTAAAATAAAAAAAATAAAAACCGCAAAGACAACTTGGAAAACCCTACAGCTGCGAGATAAGTACCGGGGTTTTACCGCAGAAAACCCATGCAAATTCACACCAGGAGGCACGAAAGTTATCGTTAACTCACTTCTGAGTGCCAAAAAGTATCGAAAGTGTCCTATTGGGTTCTCACTGGATCCATTCTCCAAAAAGCTGCCGCCCCTTGCGCCGTTTGCACCAACTGTGCACCGCCCCTTTAGTGCTGACTGGGTCATATGACTCTTAGCAAAGTGCAAGGGACGAATTCTTGACATTTATTTACTATTAAGGATGCGGTGCAAGGACCAGTTAAAATAAAGGGATATTACGCCACATTTTCCACAGCAAGATTCAAATCTAAGGCGTTCAGCACATGTTTGGAATCACTGGACAAAAGCAATCAATTTCTCATCATATCATATCAAGTGATCTGGGAGGTGACTAGACTCTTGCACCTCATCTCAGATCACTGTTCAGACTTTTAAAAGTAGCGGACCCAGAGTAGCGGTGCGCTTCTAAATAAAGCTGGGGTTTTCGATTTTCTTGGAAGGTTGAATGTCTGACCGGGAAAATTCACGGGATGGGAAAGCGGCTGGAAACTGTGGTTCCTGAAGTCATTCTCAAGCTATTAGGCTGATATCAGGCAAATATGCTAGATCATAAGGTGCCCCAAGTTATTTTCTAGCAGTAACATGTAATTAGTAACATGCTCGTGACGATTTTTTTGTATTAGTTTTTAGTTTTTTCAATCAAACCAAGCAGCAGTCGCCAGAGCTATAAAATTAATCGAATTTACAAAACTGCAGTGCCTGTAATGACCACTCGGGGTTGGCTCTAAAAGCAGATAGAATCACATACAGTGGATCGATTCCTGTCAAAAATGTTCAACTTTACAGAATTAAAATTATAAGAAAAAATCCAAAACAAACTGATGCTGTCAGAGTGGCTACATTCAAATCCATCCATCTGAAAATTGTATTAATGGAGTGTGAGGAACACAAAGCCTGCCTGTACTCATTTAGAGGAAGAAACTGCAGGAGAAGGAATTCCTATGTTCAAATCTTTACCGCAGATAATATAAAAGCTGGAAATAACCACCACGATGTCGCCCATTAGTTAGTGAAATTCTGTTATGAAGCCTTTAGCTTGGGCTTTCTATTGTGAAACCACGTGTGATGGACGAGGAGTTGTTATAATTGGCAAGTTGTTAGCCAGTGAGAATATCCTGCCTAAGCCTTAGAATGACCATAATTTACAAAATGACACTAACGCCCTGTTCAATTTGACTTTAAACTTAAGTTCGTGATGAAACTAGGAAAGTGTTTTCTGAGGTCACAGAGGGATGTTTTCCAGAAGTCTTCCTGCACCCCTCTGCTGGTGATTAAAGTGAATGCAGGTATAAGGCACATTTGAATTGTTTTTTACTTTTCAGTACTAAAAGCTGCAGTCATCTTTTATACTATTAACTTTATCAGGATTTTAAATTTTCAAATAAACATTATAAAGTCAGCATTTTTAACTCGTTGAATATACAAACTGTTCCAACCTGTGATTAAAGATTTACTAGGTTTAAAGAAACATTATGATTCAGGAGCTGCTGTCACTTGGAGAAAGAAAACAAACACCAGCCTCCTGTGTTAAAGTCTGATGCCTGGTTGACCATTAAAGCTCCAAATGTGGGCTCACTGTTTAATGCCTTCCTACGTTGCTGCTGTAAAAATATCTAAGGCTTTATCATTAATTTCAAAACAGTGGGGATGCTGTGTAAGATGTAAATGAAAATAGAATGCACTGATTTGCAAATCCCATTAACCCACAGTTTATTCACAGTATAACACAGAAAACATCAAATATTTAAACTGAGAAATTTCACTATTTATACTAAGGCTGGAAAAGTAAGCGGTACTAAAGAGAAGCAGCTGAAGGAAAATTTTGAGAAAGATTAAAAAGATTGAGAGACTCTGAAGACATCTCTATGCAGAGGGGACAAGGCCAGAAATCAGTACTGGATACCTGCAATCTCTGGGGCTTCAGGAAGCCCAGCATTAAAAATATGACATGATTTTGTCCTTTAAATCACTGCATGGGCTCAGGAACACTTCCAGAAATCACTGTTTATTAACACAGGTTAAGCCTCTAGCATGCAAAGAAGAAGCCATATGTGAATGTGATCCAGAAACACTGGCGTCTTCTCTGGGCCAAAGCTCGTTTAAAATGGATTGAAGCAAAGTGGAAAACTCCTGTGGTCAGATAATTGAAATTTGAAATTCTTTTTGGAGAACATGAACGCCACATCCTCTGGAGTACAGAAGGACCATCCAGCTCGTAAGCCTGCATCTCTGTTGGTATTGGGGTCCATTAGTGCCTGTGGAATTAACAGCCTGCACATCTACCATTAATTTGAAATGTATATACAGGTTCAAGAGGAACATATGCTCCCAACCATACATGTTTTTCAGGGCAGGCCTCACACATTTTAACAAAGCAATGCTAAACTGCATACTGGATCAATTACAACAGCATGGCTTCATAGTAGAAGAGTCCGGGTGCTGAATTGGCCTGCCTGCAGACCAGACTTCTCACCAGCTGAAGCCTTCAAACAAGAATTGGAAAACATTCCTCTCCCAGAATTCCAGCAGCTGGTCTTTTCAGTTCCCAGACTGTCGTTACACAGCAGTAAACATGGCCCTGTCGCAAGTATTTTGTAACGCTGCCATCAAATTCAGTGAATGTGACGAGCCAATACTTTTCCTAAAATGGTATATTTGCTCATTTTTAAACATGTGATGTGTTTTCTGTGTTCTTCTGTGAATCAAAAGCGGCTCTGTAAGATTCCATATTCACTACTTTGTGTTTTTAATGTACATTTCACACAGCCTCCCAGCTGTCTCTGCATTAGGGCTGTTAAGTCGTTTCGGAGGCACTTGTTGGAAAGGCCAACGCTATCAATGGAAAAACAAAAAGGAGGCGCGATAAATGAAGCACTTCAAACTGACAGGGTGGCATCTTTAATCAATGTATTGTTGACAACATAGCATGTTATGTTAGTTAAAATATCATTTGTGCTGGGAGAGAATTTGGAACAATCAACATATACATACAAGTAAAACAACAACAACAGAGAGAGGAAAAAAAAAAAATAGTATCCACAAACACTTTCATTCATTACACGCACACACAGAGCACTCCCACCGGACCACACGCCCACACAAACAGAAGCTAAAAGCTCGACAGTCGCACTGCTAGGTCTGTCAAGCAGTTTTGGATATTCTTCTGTTGGTACAAAAATGATCGTTTTGACAAAAATAATAATTTCATCAAGTGTGGTCGTCTCCCCTAACTTGCCCTCTCCACTTTCAGTCAAACTACTTGTTTTTATGTACAAGTGAGAAGGCAGTATGGCCGCATCAGTTGTAAATAAGGATATTTACCGCTAGATTTCTGGCATATTATTGGTTTTGTTTTTGTTTTCCTTTGTCATACAAAATAATATCTCTCTGAGGTAAGAACCGAGACAGTATCAAAATAGTAAAATGAAAATTTTACTGAATGTAAAAGGACTACAGGTTCATTACTTGCTGGATGACATGACCTCACGGATAACAGCAGCGGGAAGAAGGAAAAAAACAAAACAAAACAGGAAGATTGAATAACGGTCCGATGTTGTATCAGTGTGTGATTCGCTCAGCTTGTCTGTGTTTGAGCGCGATGGCTCTGAGCCAGTGGAGAGGAATGGGAGTTGGTGACATCACAGGCGTTATCAAGGTTGGTTACATGGGGGGGGAGCAGGGTCAGTGTCTGTGAGGGAACCTTTAAGAAAGAAAGAAAGAAAAAAAAAAAAGGAGGTCGCTGATGCTCTAATAGCTCCGGTGAGGCTGCTGCGGCTCTGTGGAGCTCCCAGAGGGCGTAGCGTGTGAAGTTATGAATGTGAAGCAGCTGAGTGTCTGAAGAGCGGGAACAAATTACCACCTGGAGGCTTTAAAGTTTAAACAAGACAGCCTACAGCCGGGGCAGCAGCTCTGTGAGAGTGCCTTTGAGCCTGAATTACCAGCAACGCTCACGATTACAGTGTCATGTGATTACGACTAAATCAACCCCGTGGAAGGAATCACAAATGGCAGTCCACAAACCCGAGAGCTTCAAATGTAATCCTTTTGGTGGCGCTACGTGAATTATGAGGCGCACCAAAGGATTTATCTCCTGTGGACTGTACTGAGATAAGTCACTCTGGTACTTTCACAACTTGGCGACTGCTATTAACAAAAACGCAACTCTCTTTGTCCTGTGATGTCACCAGCTCCTAGCGCTCTACTAGAAAAATCCCTTCACTCTGAAAAAGGCCAACTCAGGAAATGACACCCACCACAATCTGGCTAAGATGCTCTGAATGGAAAGTTGATCAACTCCGAAAGCGAAACCCCCATTTACACCAGGGCAATAAATCCAAACCATTCCTCCCCTTCAAAAGTTAAGGCAGTGATACTAAGGGGAAATGCTTTTCTGACCAGCAACTATGCTCCACCGACTACCAATGCATAGCTGGTGCATGTTAGTGTCAGAAAGTACTCTCGCTTTTTTAATTTTTTCATTTTTTCATTTATAAACCTCTTGTTTGCCAAAAAGTTAAACTAACTCTCCACTAGACTGTCACAACGTCTCCTTTCAGAATAAAAGGCCGGGAAGAATGTTGTTTTATTCCCACGACAAACAAGCACATTTGCAGAAAAAGGAATAGCACACAGTCGTTTAAAGGAAGAAAACGTCTCTCTCACCCCCCCCCCCACACACACACACTCACTCACATTCACACACACAAAGACATCAGAACCAACACCGAACAAACATCTCAGCCAAGGCGCCACATATATGCACGTCATCTTTCAGAAACGCATAAGGTTTTTGTCCTCTTCATTCCAGTGAAGACGATTTCTGCAATGTATATTTTTTTCACATCAACTCTTGGTCTGATTAACAGCAAAGAGTGGCCATTCACCATCATGAAGACCTAGTCCAAAAAACCCCACTCGTTAAAGTTCAGTGGGAACCATCTAATCTCTGGGCCTTTTTAATTTCCGATCGATTTAAATGTCTATTACTGAATGATTATTTGAATGTAATCAAACCTGAATCTGAAAAATCAATAAGAATTACAAAGAAAGAAAAAAAAAAAGTGATTTATTAAACTCAGTCTTCCTCCATTTGTGATTTGTGGGGTGTGATTTGGATTGTAGATCAAACCTTCATGATGGGAACGCGCTGTGGGCAACATAACAGTAAGTAAATGATCAGATATACCTCCAGAGATGCACCAATAATTTTGTGGTGGGACAGTGGGAGTACTTGACTTAAATATTGGCCTATTGTAATTCGTTTTGTTTATTTATTAATTGTAACTATTAAAAAGCAAGAACTTTGGAGGAAATTAACCTTTCATTACTCGTGCTCCAAGTCCAAGCGTTCATGATTTTTCCTTAAGTCCAAGTGTAATCGGTGCATTGTGATATACCGTGATCGTTTTCTTGCTTCACATAAAAGACAACGCTAAGTAGATTCAGACATGTATTTTTTTTTTTTCTAAACAGTTCTGTACAGGATACATGGAGAATGTTAACTCGTGTGGGTGTGGCTTCCGCCAGGTTCTTTCTCACTCATCTCAGGTGCATTCGTCGAAATGCTCATTCAAAAAAACCTACAATCATCTCAAGCGCCCTCGCGCGTGTGGCGTCACGGGAAAAGGTCTGTCGCCACGCCTCCTACCAGCAGCCGGACCAACATATTCATTAAGCTGCAATGTAGCCGGCCTATCAGTGCAACGCGCTGGTGATCAACTTAGGGCAGTAGCACAAGGATTTGAATGTTCTAACATCACAACTTCTCTCACATCTTTTTCTTTTGCTCACAACAACACATTTTCCTTCTGTTCCCGCCTCCCACCCCCACCCCCCGACTCTAAAGGGCTTTGTCACTGATCTGAGGCGTTTTTAAAGTTTCCCCACTCGGCTGGAGAACAGAGGGTGAAAATTCAGGAATTTTAAGGAAATCTGGAGTTTATAGGGACACACTGAGGGATTCTCAGGCTTAAAAAGTGGGGTCTATCAACAGTGCACACTACCTCCATTCTCTAGGGTGACAATGGAAGCCTACAGGTGAAAGATTGAAAGGAAAAGGATATTTTTTTGGAGGGTGGGGGGTTTGGATATTATGTGGGGATTAGCAGGACTGCACTCAGTGCAGCAGCTCTTCAAGCTCGCTCTCTTTGAGCTTAGCATTGTCTCTGACTTCGTCAAATGTGTACGTCTTCACAATCTTCCCATTACGAAAGACAGTGTGCAACAGGTCCTGGAGGAAAGGGTAAAGACAAAACAACAACAAAAGTGAGAACGGCAGTGTTCGTATGAAATCAAATTACATGTGAACAATCAAAACAATTGAGTAAAGAAAAGGGTTTGTGTGAACTCACCACGCCATACTCCTCCAGATCGCCCTTGCCCTCCTCCAGAGTGACAAAGTCTCCGCTCTGGGTCCGGTGTAGAGACAGACGACCTTTCTTCGACCTCTTGTTGGGGTCTGCCACCGGATCCTTGAACACGTTCACCTGAGATACAGCACAAAAAGATCTATGTCACACTGAAACAGAAAGGACATCCCTGAAAAGTCTGCCTGGGATCATGGATGAATAAATAAAGATTTCCAGAAAGTGCACTTAAACAGCTACAAAGCCACCTAACAAATGTAGACCCATTCACCCGGTCCTCACCCCTAGTCCGTTAGTGACCACGTAGCTGCATTTGAATGAGCAGTTGAGCAGATCTCTGGTCAGTTTCTGCAGCAGAGCCCCTCCGGACCCGAAGGTAATGTTCTCAATGGACCATCTGTGTTGCTTCATTCCCTCCACAATCTGGGAAACAAATACACACAATCAAACCTTGCTGCTGCCTTCAAACTTTGAACAGCTGGCGCCATGTGCCTGTACCTCTTGCAGTGTGTTGATATCCACTCCATCTCCTTGTATGACTCTAATGTAAGGAGGGAGAACCTTGAACCCTTTAGAGTTCTCCTTTGGTGCAAACTTCTTCCCTAGAATCTCCAAAACCTGTAAACAGTCAAAGAAGAGAGGATGGAGGAGGAGGTACAGAGAGGAAAAGTTGAGTTTCCTGGCTGGGTTAAAGAGTATAAATGAAAGTAAAGCCATTTGTGTGACCGCACCTTCAAAACCGTATCGAGCGGGTTTCCTGAGTCTGGTCGAACGACGAGCGGGGCGTCTGCGCTGCGCATCTCGATCAGCGCCCGCAGGTCTTCTCCCCAAATCTTCTCGCAGGCGTTGTAGATGTCGTAGCTGTCGCTGACTATGGACACAGGCACGCTGGGAAACTGCTTGATGATGTGCTCGAAGGCATCTTTTTCATGGTCTTTCCCCCACGCTGTGATGGTACTGCAGAGAGAATGGAAGAGCTATTAAATATACATCTGAAGAAGAGTAAGACAGGAAAGACCAAACACAGTGATTGAGTGATAATGTCTCAGAGTGTTCAGAAGAGGGCGCTGCACTCCAGGTTTTAGTCTAAGACGAGCCCAAATGTGATCTTACAGGTACTGTACAACAGCTGTGTGTACTTCTGATGCTGGCGTTCTTCTGCATCGCCTAGCATCACCAGTGTAGAGTCAGACAAGGAGAAAAAGGTGATAGAACCCACACAGAGCTCCTGATGAATACATCAAATATTAATGTTAATGCATCACGCACCATGATAATAAGGTAAGGTAAATGGAAAAGTGCAGAAAAACATGAAGATCTGGACTTTAGGCTTATTAGGTCTTGGACAGCAGATGCTTGTAATGATCATGTTGCTTTGTTTTAAGGATTTGGTGCTCTCTCCATTGTGTTGTTCCAGAATCCAACTTGGCCCTGAAGATAATTTTAGTTTAATGCGCTGCAGCTCCTGAGCTTCTTGGCACAACCCCAATACATGAAACGTGTGCAGTGTGCACACACTGCTGGCACTGATTTCTTCAAACTAAGGGTGACACACCTTTTCTCTAAAAAAAAAAAAATCAACCCTCCCTTTTCCTCTGGAATATCACTGCGACTCCTCCCACCGAGGAGGTAGAAACGAAACCGATTTCAGGAGGGAGGCCATTGCATAACAGTTGCTATAACAACTCCAGCCACTATCCCACAATGCACTGGTATGGGGAAGAAGGGTGCGCTGGTGCAGCAGTAACAGCGCTGGCGGCCAGTAGGAAGCTGCTGTGTGTGCGCGCATGAGAGCGAAACAGAAAGGGAGAGGTGTCTGCAAGCAGGATAAATGAGAGAGATGTGCGCCGGGGCAGCAGCCAATCAAAACTCTCACTTCCAGCTAATCACAGCACAATTCACCGAATGAAATAGACGAACCAGATAATGACTGCGAGGGTGACCAAGCACAAGTCAGGAGAGAAAATTAACACCATCATGAGCCAAATGTTGAATAAATATTCACTCTGGCTGACAAACATCTCTACATCAACAGCTTTGGCACATAATTAGGTGTTATTTGAAGAGAGTTTCCTTCTCTGTGGATGAAAAGCTGGCTCTTGGCCAAACTGTGCACCATTTCATCAAAAGCAGCAATACAGATGAAGACAGCTGAGATTTTCCAAGAGAACAGGTGAATGTGTGGCCTAAATGCAGATAATTAAAACTGTGTGCAGTAATTTAGCAACCTGCATGAGCTGCTTAAAGTTTGTGTAAATCTTGGGAGTCCCTTGAAAGCAGTGTTTCTCAGACACCCGTCATTACATGGAGTCTGGAAGTAAATCTCTAAACTGTGCGGTCGTATCTGCAATAAAACACAGCTCAGAACGGTAGACTGCACAGACAAATATTCCATCTCTAAGCAGGAACATAAAGTCCTTTACAGATTAACACTAAATAAATAAGGCCAGTAAAGTAAAGCGTGTGTGTACCTGTGCTCGGCAGCGGGCACTGAGAAGCCTGGCACAGGGTCCTTGGTGCCATAGTACTTCTTAATGACTCCGATGCCAGCGACCGTGTCTGTGCCCTTGAAGTTGACCAGATGGGCGGAGGCTCCTATGCCAGCAGTCTGTGAATAAAGAGGATAGGGTGGGGGTTAGGGACCTTGAAGTGCTGTAAACAACCTTAAAGTGGAAATAATGTTTCCCCTTATTTTCTCATTTATAGATTTGCAATTGCAGATGCTCTTTGATGGCTTTGAGCAGAGAAGCCCCGCCCACCTCCTGTTCAAACCTTGCGTTTGCAAGGGAGAGCAAAATGTGGACTAGACCAAGTCTTAATTTTCTTTGTTTTTGAAATCTCTGATGAGCTTTATTGTCCTTGTCCTTAAATTAACCAGATTTAAATCTTTAGCTTTCTCCATACCTCTTGTGAGGACACGCCTCTGTAGCCGAAGTCATGTAGTTTATACTCCAGCCCCTCCAAATTCCCCGAAGTCTCTAAGAGGTACTTGGCAAGGATCTTCTTTTGCTCTCTAGAGTTGGTCGCCACAGTGATGGGATACCAGATCTGAACCAGGATGGTCTGACGGAGAAAGAAAGGAGAGTTCAGTTCACTTTACTGGATATTTATAAATTGTTCAGGGTGTCATTATGCTCTAAGTTTTTCCATGTGCATTTATTATAGCAAACAAGCAGGTTATCGGACTAAATATTCATAACAGTTAATGGTGAGCAAAAAAGAAAAAAGCAAGCATAGTCAAGTTTTTTTTCCCCTGCAGGCAACAGACCGGTGAATGTCTGGCCCAATTCTTCTGCTTTCCCAATATTTAAATGGTACTAAAACCCCAAACTAACAGGCTCAGAGGGATCACAGCGGCCTGCTCATTCACCAAAGACAAACTCTGGGAAAAGCACATTCCTTGTTGCTTCATGTCAACTCTGGACCACAGTCAATGACTTTAATATGAAAACAAGTGGCTTATCTGTACTCTCCACCACCTGGGAAATTTTAGGAATACATAGTTCGTTCCTGCAGTCTGAAGCATAGAGCGTGATTCTGTGAAGATCTGCCAGTCAGTGTTTTGCCCTCGCTTTCTAAAGCTCTCCTCCTTGTAAATTCAAAATCCATTTTGTCAAAGCAATCATCAGATTTAAGCTGCAGTAAGAACAGATGATGCAGAAAAAGTTTGATAGAAAGAGAAACCTGTGGAATATGGTGACAAGAGGATTATGAACAAGAGCGCTAAACTAACACTATGTAACTGCTTACTGCGATTTAAACATTTCATGTTAGGAATGACAACCAAGTACTATGCTATGTAGGCTGAACCTCATTAACAGCAGATAAACACACCAAGCAAGACTAAAACTCTAAATATAACTAAGGCTATAAAAATTCTCTGTTTACCTAGCTCACACTCTTTGTGCCTCCTAACACTATGCGGTGTGTTTCTACCTTATAACACTGAGCAGGTCACATGCATCCCCAGCCTAATTATAATTCCATAATATGGACTCATGTGACTGCCAAAGAAAGTCCAAAGTCCATGTGTACGCACACAGACATGCATTTGTAAGGCTATCTCTGCGAGGACATTCACTGACATTTAGCCCCCGACCCTGTCCTTTAATGCTAATGCTAGCCCTAACCTTTAAAACGAGTCTCAGCACTTAAATAGCTCTTGTAGGGGTTTCAGGAAGACCAAAATATCCCCACTCTCCACCTTCATAGAGGTACACATAAAGCTTGAGCTGTAAATTTCTTACAATAAAACAAAAACGCGCATGTGCGTGTTTGTTTCCTTGTCCGCAAACTCCTCCTCGACTATAAGCAGTTGAGCAACCAAACTTTGCACAGGCCACTGAAAGTTCTTATTTATATCACACATTATCATGTCCTTTTGTTGCCTAGAAGGAACAGGTTAAAATGACCCACTGGTAGCATTTATGCACTAATAACACTGTTTAAAAGAACCGTATCATTTTTTTATTTCACAACAGTAACATCTAATTTATATCTTAGAAAAGTTGAGTTACGCATGGGATTTTATGATGTCAAGATGACATTGTGTTGCATGGCAACAGGCTTAATCACCCTGTTTTGAGCCTTTATACACATATTATACCTTATAAAAGCATCTTATGGCATTTTTATCTACAAAAGCCAAATGATACACACCTAGCGGGGTGCTAAAATGCCTGTTTTTAATCATACAAACGCCATCTTTTTTGCAACTTTTTTCAGTGTGATTAAGAGTATCGGTTTGCCAACTGCACAAACAGATCAAACAACACTGTAGCATGGGCATGTAGTAGTTATAACCAATTCTACATTTGTGTGGTAAAAGATTAAGTACAGTGTAAGCATTGTTACACTGCAATTTTTCTATCATTGTCAGGCGACAGTTTGTAAAGGATACTTGCTGCCACGGTAAAATGGAGGGGCAGTAAAAGCAACACTAAGAAGGAATGCACACCCTACACACAACAACAACACAACTACTCTGTCAATGTCCCAGAACAAAATGGACGGCGATAAGGAACCACAGAGCGGGATGAGAATGGGGAAGGCAATGGCAAAAAATAAATAAATAAAAAGGACAAGAAAGCAATAGAGAAGAAAGGGGAAAAAATGATGTGACAAAGAAGAAAATGAGAAAAGCGAAACAAGAAGGGACAGCAAGAGTGAAAGGGAAAGAGATAAATAGAGTATGACCTAGTGACGCAGCTCAAGGACACCAGTCTGTGGCTAATTTTACTTCACAGCCATGAAGAACGACCCCCGTGTGTGTCTGTTTATGTGTGTATTTAAATCAACCAGAGAAACTTACCAAGTGTGTGTATAAATGGGTTTGTGGACGTGTCGTCACAGTGCTCTTGGCTGTAGGTGACCTCCAAGTACTATGCCATTACAGAGTCGAGAGTGTGCGCGTCACATAATAGCTCCAAACGCAGACCACTTTCAGGATACATTAGACTTTCTGAACATACTAATATGCTGGTAAGTGTGTGCATATAGATTATAAAAAGCTTTTTTGCATCAACAGACAAACAAAAGAATGCCGTTTCTGATTAATCACGGCGTGATTCATTTGTAGGAGCAGTCAAACGTGATATTTATGAACTGGTTTGACATGGTGAAAAAAACAAAAACAGCACGAGACACGACAGCAGTCAGAAGAACAGAAAGTGAAAGTGAAGTGCAAGAAAGTGCTTGTTCCGCCGAGTCATTGAGGACAGCCTGTTCATGCAGCATTAAGTTCATGATAATCCTGATCTCAGAGTCACACTGTGGATCAGCTCAGTGTAAAAATGCAGTACTCAAACTACCAGAATAAAGTCACTCAAATCTACTTAACTTTCTCTGGAATTTTATGTGAATTATTTGTGAAACCTACAGTATGGTTACAAGACATTTGCTAAATATGCTTATTTGTTAGATGGAAATAGTGACATCATTCGTCTGTGTAGTAAAAAATAAAACTAAAGCTAATTAGATCATCGTAGAACAAATAGTAGAATCAGGAAAAGCACAGGTAGTCTGGCTGTGAACAAAGGTAAAATATGACATCATTACAAGACAAAATCAAATATGATATAATCTCAAAAAACTAGCTCTTCCCTGCTATTTAAAAGCTTCTTCACTGACTTTGGGAAAGTCGATGACCTGCTAACATTAGCTAATGAACGGAGTCCGCAAATCAACAAGCTTTCACCGCCAACAAACACTGAACAGAAAGACAAGATAGCATTTTGCCAGAAACAACTTTAGCCAGGGAGTAAGCTAAGATGATCTAGCCAGCTGCTACATTTGCAAACTAGCAATACTGCTATTAGCTATACGATAACTAATATTAGGTTAAGTTTTTATACAATGAATCTCATCTAATCAGATGAGTGACAAACACTGGGAAAACTACAGCAGTGGGGTATTCAACACCTACAGGCGCCATGCTTTACTTCTGAGGGTCACAACAGCCCCCTCCCAATCATCTTTTTTAGTAGCAAAAAATAATCTAATCTAAAAAAACCTAGCAATAGCTTGCTAGCCACCTAGCTATAACTAGGGCTAACCAATAACTTTAACTTCATCAGCTTTTTGAAAATCTCCATCCTGTATTTAGTGTTGACTCAACACCACAGGCACAAATTTTGTTGACTGTTTAGTTACGTATAAGCGATGTACATAAACGTAATCAGATAATATAACTTGAAATATAAAAATTAAATACAATTACCATTTTTTACAAACATAATAGCAGCATGTGTGACGATGTCTGTGCAAAGATTAGTTGAAATTAGTCGAACCCGTTGAAGAGGAGATGGGTTAGATACAGACATATATTCATATATGCACTACAATCAATACAGTAAGACAACAAATCAATAATTTCCACATTAATGCCCCAAGGCTAACTTTAGCTTTCTTGCTAACAATACTACTAGATAAAATACTAAGTGACCATAGTTCCATGATACTAAGTCATGAAGCAAAAAGTCATGTTCATTTTGGACAGCAATAAATTCTGTAAATATACAAAGCAATAATACTCAAAAGTGATGCAGGCCTGGCTATCCAGCTAGCTCTAACTGAACTAGACACCATATATCTGACATTGGTAGATTTGTTTTGAAGATATAAATAATCACATTAACAGTATATGCTCAGGTTATTCTGTTGATGTGCAGCATATCAGTTCATGGCAGTCTTGTATAGTCTCGAGTGGAGCCAGCTCCTCACCCTGACTTTTAAATAAAAGGGATCACGCATTATGTTGTAGTTAATGAGTTTAAAATGGGCTGGTAGGTGGCTTTTGCATGCCTTTTACGGAGCCACCAAAGTGGTATCAATATTTTCACCGTGCTCTCAACAAAGAAGCGATTAAGTGTATTTTTCAGAACCACTGAGCTGTTTCAGTCTGCAGCATACAAAACTCAATTTACACTTCTTTTTTTTGGCGTCAAAGAAGTGTAAGTGTACAACAATGACCATGTGAGCCTATTACTACTACATTCTTTGACTACTCAATGAAATCTCTACACTATACTTTTGCTGCAGTTGTAACACAAGTACGTCTCCAAGTGGGTATTAGGCTATAAACTATGGCAGAATTGCAACTCTGTGAGATTTAAGAAATCATGAAGTGTCACAGGGCATGCTGCCAAACTAAATTGTTTATGGCTTTTATAAAACTATTACCTCTCTATTGTAATAAATGGGACCTAAACGTTGCTAATGTCTTCCTTCTTCTATTAATTATCAAATAACCATTAAATGGTATCGCTAAGCCTAGCAATGTAGTTTTAGTAGCAATGTGTTGAGCACATAAAACATTTCACTGCTATTTGAGGGCACAGGGGTATGAAATTTACGAGGGCTTTTAACTTGATAGAGCTCTTCCAGTAGTTACACTGTGAAGGGGTTCTCCTGTGATTTAGCATTACACTGAAAAGCAACAGAACCCCACAAGACAGATTTAAACAACAGTCAAAATTCTGTTTTTTGTTATAGCTTACACATAAAAAGTACACCTCAAATCCATAAATGAATAAAACATGTCATGTCAGGGCCCTCTCAGATCCCACCCTGACTCGTGTCCATGAACCAAACGTACCTCCACCCAGTTAGTGAGCCAGTAGCATTCGGGGTCTGTGCTCTCCACTGTGAACAAAACATTGCCTCGAGGAATGACACTCCCCTCTGGCACCGCCTTGATTTCAATGGGCAGGTGTCCGTTGTATTTCTGTAAACACAAAGAAATGCACACAAATATATAAGGTTACCAGCATCACCTTCCTGGATATATTAACAGATTTATATCTAAGCTATAGCAAAAGATTTTCAGAGGTAAGCCATTTACTTGGAGGGAAAAGTAAATTAAAGGGAAGTATTATGTTCATTTCCATAGTTTTAAATTGTCGATTAGGTTTGCATAATTCAGTTTAAATAAAACAAACAAACAAAAAAGAAAAAAAAAAAACACAACAAATTCCATCGAGGACATAACAGTAAGGTACACATTTCTATCAGAAAAAACAAAAGCAAAAAAACTGTATTTTTGGTTGCCTGAGGTTGTGCTGTACTTGGCTCAGCACTATATTTTAATTGCAGTTAGAGTGGAATCTGTAAAGTAGGTTCTTACTATTTTTGTTTATTTGTTAGTAGACGTTTAGACTTTTCTTTGCGTCTGTTAAACCTAACACCTTCTACACACAAATAATACATTATCCAGTGAAATGAACCATGTATTAATATTACAAACACAGAAGATTAAATGTTTGTTTCCTAGCAACAACATTAACGATATTATTTTATTATTAGCCGTAGCCACTACTTTGACTAACTAATAATTGCTAATAGTTAGATGGCTAAGGCTAACATATACCATTCAAATTAACTAATGTTGTTGAAACTGATGCTTTACTGACCCCTCAGAATTCCTCATATAGTGCTGCTAGTGAGGGGGAGGGGCTGAGTGTGTGTTCCTGTTGGTCTGGTACTGTGATGTGTCAAACGGAGGAGGCCATGACAGTTTTGTGTCTGTATTGCTGCAAACGAGCATCTGATAGTGGCATCCTTTTTAGTAATGATTTTTTTAAACAACTAGTTTTTAATTATAAAAAAATAAAATAAAAAATTGCCTTAAAACAGTTTTCTAGCAACACACCAAATCTCCTGGTGACCTCTAGCTTCTCTGATGCGCGACACATCAACACCACAGTGTTTCATGTGGTAACATTACGATGTGCTTGTTTACATGTATACACAATTTTTTCCTTAATAAACCATTTCCTGAAACACTCTGTATTGTTTAGGAAACCTGTCTACAAATATACCTATAAAAATGTTTCATCATATAGGAAAAAAGACAAAAATCTTTCAGTAATCTCTTACCTCCAAAATATAAGTCCACCCCTTCTCATTAAAAACATCATCCTGGAAGTGTTCCCTGTAGACCTCCTTCGCCTCTTGAATCTTCTCTGGAGTCACTACTTTTCCTGGAGAGCAGGAAGTAGGTGGGGAATAAAGGAGGAAGCGGGAGACAGTACAGACAAAGAGGTTGGTGAAACAAACACCGCAGCACTGGTGTGCTTCTCTACTGTCCACCACGATAATCAAATTTGAAGCTGCTGAGAAGGCATCTTTGTTTGGAAAACATGTGACACAAACTACATCCTTGTCTCAATTCAAGTCTGACTAGTTTCTAGTTCATGGAAACTATTAAACACAGCATACCACAGATGGGAAAGGATCTCTAAGGGGATACTGTGGTTTATTAGGAAATGCAAAAGAAAGGTCTGACAGTCTGAGAAATAAAAAAAGTGTTACATGTGTGTGCAAGCATTTTTATCGATATTTATAAAATCATGAACTGTAAGTGGAGCTAGCTGCTTTCTTTTGTTTCTAGATTTTATACTAAGCTACTTTAATGTAACCCTCTTTCAACAATGCATTATCGGGTTAAATTCTCTGAATGGTGAGGTTTTCTTGTAGCTTTGGGTAAACAGAGGGTCTTTTTTTTTTTAACTTTCACTTGCTCATGAAATTAATTCTGTTAGAGGATCGAGGATGCATCGCTGGTAGATGGCCTAATCGCTGTGCTCCGAGCGATGCTCTGCCGAGCCAGCTTTTCTCCCTCGGACAGCGAAAGAGCAGCTGTGCTTTTGTCCTCTCCGTCTCTGTTCTCTGTTATCCGTTGCACTCTCTCCACACCTCTGTTACCACACCATGAAATCCGCTTAACAGACATGAGGGAGATGCATTCTTTCGACACTCTCTCTTGCCCTCTCTTTTGCCTCTCAGGACGTGAGCGTCAGCGTTAATCATCTTGAGTTAATTAGGGCATAAAGTGTTTTGGGCTTATTTCAGGCTGGTCTTGTTTTCTCATTTCTTTCCCAACCTGGATTCTTTTGTGGTATGTTTGTTTTGTACGGCCTAATCAATGTGAAGCAGCACGCTGCAGCCTTGCTGTTTTTCGAATGAATAAAAGAACTGTTGCTCCAGGACTCGATAGAAACCACCTGCCCTGCTGAAGTGTCCTTCAGCAAAGCAATGACTTTGAAAAGCCTTAGGCACACTGCTCTGCAACTTTCCCTGTATGCTGACCTTGCCCTGTAGAGGGAAGGCCAAAACAATAGAGTGCTCCCACAGGGACCAATCAAGTACTATAAAAGGCCCTCCAAAGTCTGGATGTCGACTTTTTCAGCTACACTTAATTTTTTTTTATTAACCAGTAAAAATCTTTCGCCTGACTAGAGACTGAGGCTTGCTGGACCACAGCAAAATAGCGGTTGTGTAAACTGCATTCACAGCACTAGAACCATAACATCATGTGCACAGCTTGCTTCCATGTCTTGGTTGTGTGATTTAAGTATTGAACTGTTACCCTTATTTAATTTAAGTGGACTGGAAGCACTTCTATTTACGCAAATATCACAACGCGGTGGCTGCATGTGACCAGACTCCCTCCCATCTGTGTTTATTTGCCATTGAGAAGCTTGGACTTAGTTGCAAGGTCATGTTGACTTGTTTAGTCTGGCTACAGAGCTTTTACTTAAACAAAAGGCAAACTTACCTTTTAGATATTTGTGCAGGATGTACTGTAGGCCATAAAAGACAGTTTTGTCATATTTGACTTTTCTGTTTTTGCTGGGGTCTGTCCTCTTCTCGCGGCACTCGAAGTAAGAGTACACTTTACTCGTGTTGGGGGGGTACTGTTTATAATGCGTTACCTGCCAAAACAGAGCACAAGACAAATTAGACTGGCCATAAACAATGACTAACCAGTTTAACCGGGTTAGGAGAAAACTAAAACAAGAGCAGTCTGATACCGCATACCTCTGCCACAGCTGAAAATTCCCTAGACACCATGCATGAATAAATTTCTGGATCCAGGAACACTAAGACAACATCTCCAATTTATCTTATTTCAGTCTGAAATACATTGGTGAAGGTGTACTCACTTCTAAATTGAGTCAAACTCCATCCAAACGTGATCACTAACTACTTTATTTTTTATTTAGTATGCATGTGTTAACATGCCACCAGTGCAAAATGACTCATCTAGATTTTATCATTAGTGTCAAGAGGCAATGGGCCTGTACTGTAGCCCAGTTTCACAATGTATCTTGTACATTTTGCACTGTACAATACTGCACAAGCCCACCATTCGAAGGAACTGATTTTATCTCAATGTGTTTTAAGATTGTGCAAAATATTTAGTGTACAGGGAATTTGGACCAACACATAATGACCAACACCCTGCTTGATTTCAGGGCGTCGATAGGATTGCAAAGGAAAATTGCAGCATTTTCAAACTGAAAAAAACCCCAACTTATCTTCCACAGAAATGAAGAAATCCCATAGAATCAATAACTTGTTACCAAATAAACACATTTTCACAACTTATCTGATTGCATGAAACATTTCAGTTCATAAAAGTGTTTCAATGTCATGCATTAAAAAAAAAAATTACATTCAGGGAGAAAGAAGTCGAATTTGTCTCTCACACTAGGGCTGCCACAAACGATTATTTTGATAGTCGACTAGTCACCGATTATTTTTGCGATTAGTCGACTAATCAGATCATCATCCACTGGACGTAAAACGTACAGCATATTGCACCAGCAGCATCTGCTCATATATAACTATCATTAGCTTACAGCTTTAAGTGTTTAAGGTATGTGCTAACTAAAAATAAAGACAAGATGATAGTTTATAGTTTATGAAATTTACAGATTGTTTCAGTGAAGTTTAATAAACTCCTTGCCATCTAAAATATAACAGGACACCGGAGTAAATTCTGAGCATCTCACACTTCTGATAATCAGCTGTCTGCTTGACGTTTATTCAGCTGTGTAAAAACTATAACTTTAATCTCAGCCAAACAGATTTACTCAGGAACAAATAAAATTTAAAAAAAGCCAAACAATAACATGTTTAAGTTATCTAAGTGACTTATGTATGTTTAACCTGAGTAGCGAAAGACGGCGGTGGGTTTGAAAACGATTTGCCGGGAGTCCGGTGTTCTCACGGGCTCTAGTGAGCCTAGCTAGCTATTGAGCTAGTGGGTAACAGACGTCTCCGGAAAACGTCGGCGCGCTTTTGAAAATATGTGGCGTCTTGATAAACTGAGCAAATATTTGAGGTTTACACAGCTACGTTTATTTTGTGACCCAGAAAAGAATAATAAGAGTAATTTTAAAACTAACTAGCTGCCGCCGTTGTTGGAAATTGAGCTGGGCTGCGCTATGAATTCTGGGACACAGCTTCTTCTTCAGGGTTTAACGGCAGCTGGCATCCATGCAGTGCTGCCCTCTTCTGTTTCAGTCCGTTATTACACTCTTAAATCCTACTACTCATTCCTGCGTCTTTTGTGATCTTACAAAGCTTCAAACGACGCGTCGACTATTAAATCAGCCGTCGACGATTTTGATAGTCGACGTAATCGTGACTAGTCGACTAATCGTGGCAGCCCTATCTCACACATACACATTTTCTCTATAAAACAGTTGTTTGGAGCTTTATGTGCACTTCTAGTGAAAATTGAATCCCCAGTGTCTGCAATCAAGTCAACAGCTTAAGGCAAGTCCAGACATGTTTCAATAACAGACTCTACTATCATACCCATATGATACAGTCTCACAAAAAGGAGACGATACATAGTCAGTGGTAGCCATCAGTCATTAATTAAATCCCTAAATGAGCTAATGGATTTCTAGAGTGCACTAAAGGTTTAACTCCTACCAGCAACGCTCCTACCACAACTGAAGTGCACTTACATTTAGAAATTATATTCCTGCCTCATCATGTGTCACATGAGAACCTAATGTGTACACAGTCAAAGTACAAGTCACAGTACAAGCAAGAGTCATTTATTATTGTTAGACATTAGACTCTGATCAAACATACCTAGAGACTGGCTGGTGATCGCCTTGGTAAACACTAGTCACCAAGGAAAAATAAGTACTCAATGACCAGTTGGCGAGTTGTTGCTATGAAACTGATTGCTAAGGCCCAGTCACAAAAACTCATAGACAGTGCAGACTCAGTGGTAGCCTTCAGTTGCTAGGGAAAGTTTGATTGCTGACAGGTTGGCAAGTGGTTGCAGTAGGCCGTCTGCTTTCGCTAGGATGTGAAATTGATTCACAAAGGAGTTTACAGCGCTGCAAAAAAAAAAAAAAAACACCTTGCGATGGTTTTGGTCACTAACAGCTTGCGTGCAGTTTGTACGCTGACTTTCCTGAAAACACTAACTACTTGATAAGCATTACTGAAACTCTAAAAGAATGTTCTCCATTTCCAGTTTGACTCCCACTTTTTCCAAGTTTGGTGGTTCTTTATCTTGATCATTAATATGCAAAGGGTCATGACCACGACCAAACAACATCTGGCAACAGATGCCAGGTGAGACTGAAGAAGTCACTTGGATGAGTGACGAAACGCTTTTCCCAGAAAACGCTACGTCCAGATGAACAGAATCAACTTTTGGAGATCTGGCAACACAGAAGAGCTAATTCGTCAGGCCAGGACTCTACAATCTATTCACACCTACAGGCCAGTGGCCACTCTTTCAGTGATGAGGATGTACACATCCTGGACAGGGAGGAACGCTGGTTTGACCGCGGAGTCAAGGAGGCCATTTACGTGAAAAGAGAAAGGCTATCTCTGAACATCTTTCGCCATCTTACAACGCCGTGATTGCAGCCATTCCCCAACTCTCTGTGAATGATACTCGTGGCTATTGATCAGTGGTTGTTGATCAATGGTCATGACAATATCCATATAAAAGGTCAAGAACTGACCTCACAGCCCATTGTTCATTCATTGGGCTAGTTTCAGTCAATATGCTAATACACTCTTTAAAAGTTTGGGGAAACCTGCAGTCAGCTGAGACTGAAGATGTCACTCGGATGAGTGACAAAATGTTTCTCCCACTGAAAACGCTACATCCAGAAGAAGAGAATCAACTTTTCGGGCGTTCCTTACCCGGATTACTCAGCATGCATCAAGACATTAAATATACAGTAAGATACAAAACTACTTGACACCCACATTGAGTATAGATGAGATAAATGTCAATGAACTACTCAGTTACTCTGACCCCCATATGTGTCCTTTCCTCTGGGCTTTCGAGGACTCAAAATAGAGTCAAGACACTTAACATGACACTGAGTGCAACCACGTGTGTACATATTCATTGGCACCCACTGTATACACACACAAACACACAACCAATGCTTTAGAATGGCAAAACTAATCAGAGTTTCAAAGCACGAGCAGTACGTCCAATATTATTAAATGTCAGCAGAGGACACGCATGAATATTTGATTATAAAACATCCATCTATTGTAACATGAACCTAATTACGACAAACAAGACCAACAACTGAGTTACACAATTCAGTTTTACAGTAACAGTATCAGTAATGGAAGGAGGTGCATGTAGTGGTAAAACCACAGAGTACCATCACTTATCAGTACCTCTTAACTCTAAGGAGATGTTTGTTAAGTAAATCTTACTATTTTCATATATGAATAACTGGTAAGCAGGCTCTAGGTTCATAAATTTGAGGATATGATATTTTGAGTACTCATTATACAATGACAAGCTCATTCAGTCTGGGTTTTGTACTGAAAAAACTGATCAGACACAAACGCAACTGAAGTAAGGTTTGGGGTTTGTTATCTGCTTCCTCTTTTTCCTTCCTTCCTCCTTTAAAACTCTGATGATACTGAGCTAACTGAGGGTGCAATGATTCCAGGATAATTAAAATCAAAAACACCAAACATATACACTTACGCTTATCGTCTATGACAGCGCAGAAAGTTAATGCAATGTCAGTAATTTTCTCACACACAAGTTGCCATCTATAAACAGCAAGTAATTCCTCCTTTGCTCTTTCGAGAGACTGGGAAGGAGATGATGAAGGCAGCCTTGTGAAAACGCTTGGACGTTTCACAAAAGTTCCTTAAATCTATTACCACAACCTTTTCCATCATCACCACGCGTGAAATGCAGTACATGCAGGGCACTGTCCCATTACCTGAAGTTAAGAGTTCAATTCAAAGACAAATAATGGAACAACACATACTGACAGTTCAGTTAGTCTGGTTCCAAAGATAAAATCCTACTCTGCAACACTGGGCTTGATCACCTCTCCGTAGTGGCACGTGAAACAGTTCTCTGTTGAAGTGGCTTTTCAGCTTGCAGCCAGTTTTCAAAGACGCAAACAACACATGCAGTTGGTCTGTCCAATCAAGACACGCTGGAGAACCAGGTGAAAGGTATCAACAATTCTGATTAGGAAATATGAAGCAGGAAGTGCCGGGTTAAGCCGGACAGTAGGACCCGAACTTTCAAAATAAGAGCAAGGGGATGCATTAAAAAGAGAAGAAAGAAGTGCTAAAATGAAACCCCAGATACTTTAATGTAAGACCCTGGATCCCTGCTTACTTTCTCACCACCATTCACTCAGGATTTAAGGGTCAGAAGAGTGTAATATGCAAATGTGGTCACATGGTGACAAACTAATGTGGCTTTTCTTTAAAAATCTGTGCTAATAATAGAACACAATATAACTCCTCCCTGTCAAACAAGCAGAGATTTTTTGAATGCATGCTTCCAGACAATAGGCCGGCGTGCCTTTGGGACAGAGAGTTTGCTTTTGAATTCAAGCACACAAAACACAAAGGTGCTCAGGTGGAGTTTGTTTTTATGTCCTGTGTGTGCCTTCAGTTGTTCTGAGAGACCAGCGAGCATTTCTTTGAATTAACCTTTCCCTTTGGTCATGCACGGCCAAGCTACACATACAAGGTAAAGCTGGGTGACAGGTGTTGCAACACAAGTAAAACTTGCCTGCGCTGCAGTGAGGAGACATTTATCTGTACTGTCATTTGTCAGGCATTTGCTGTTTCTCCCTGGGCTTTAACTATCACTACTTGACTGAAAACACGACTTCTAACACAATGCTGTGCTTTACTTTGAGCACACTTTGTTGCTACCTAACAAAAACATCTGTAGCCTTCTTCTATTTTATATTATGCAGCTCTTTGTGAGCTTTCTTAAAGTTACAAGGAAAAACTGTTTTCTATGAATGAAAATGTGTGTCGGCTGTATTCTGATTTTTGACATTGTGGTGAAGCGGAGCAGAAAATGCTGGGTCTTTGTTTGAAATCTACTTTTTGTTTTCCAATAACTTGAATAAAGTCGGGTCAATGAAATATGAGCTCTGTGGGAGGGTTTAATGGACTTTATGTAATTGTTGCATCAGGAAATATCCGATACTCTAGACTGAGTTTCCCTGTAGATGTCTCATAAAGGGGTTAACTACATATGCCCTTTATTAAGGTAGTCAATCCAGATACTTTAGACTTAGTTCAAAATGAAAGGAGGTGCCAGAAAGCTAAGACTTTATAGAAACCACTCAACATGAAACTGCCACCTCTTCCAAAGGGATGTTTCTGCTCATAAAAAACAAAACAAAAACACCCACACTATATAATATACATATACATCCACTTAACACCAGTCAGCAGTGGTGCTGGCTGTTCATCAATAATCCCAATCGATCAATACTTCTAGAATCAGGTATACGTTTACTTTCATTTTTTTCCTATAGTGAAAGTTAAACTGTAATGAAACAATGAAATGAAACCAAAACCACTCATTTAGATGAAATGAAAGGTAAGGTGTGACTGTGCATTACACACCGACGGGAGATTTTGCAGGTATTTAAGTGAAGATTTTGTTTTTTTATTTCCTTAGTAAAAAAAAAATTATGATATGGCAATGCAGCTGATATATATGGGTACAGAACATGAAATATTGAAGTATAACTGAACAGCACACTTAAGAGATATGTTGTAGGCAAATTAAACCACACTAACATTAGTGATAACACAATGAAACACAATGAAAGTACATCCATGTACACATACATTTAAGATGTTAGTTTGTATCATTAGACTACATTACCAAGTTTTTTTTCATTCATTCAGCTGGTGTACAGCTCAGTCTGAGCCTAGGTTTTAGTCGAGGTACTTGGGCTTCCTGCCTCTGCTGGTAGCCCCATACTCCCCTCTCCGGTCATTTCTGACTTTCTTTCCTATCATCAGCATCACCGAATTGCTGAATGGTGTCATGTGGCAGTTGACCTGGCAGCCGTCCAGGCAACCACTTGCTACGTGAGCTTAAACAATACTCTAAGATCATTTGTCCTCTGTTTATATTGTTGGTTATCAGCGGGTTGTTTCTTGTCGTTAGCCAGTGTATAAACACTTACAATCCTTACCCACTGCCAAACATCTTAAACCCGCTTTGAAAGTCTAGCTGCCTTGTGATTCCTTTTTAACTTTCGTTTTCTCGTAAGTTATGAATTGCATTATGAGTGGTGCGAGCTAGCCCTATAGTGGCTAACACGACGTCGAGCTAGTGTGACTGAGCTTTTGCCCATGTGCAGTTCATACAGCACTTGCTAGCTAGGGGCTAATACTAGCTTTTTTTAAATATCAATACCCTTCATCTCTCTCTTGCGCTCCCTATGCGCTAGCTAGCTAACTCAGCTAGCTGCGGACCATTATGACTAGCAATCCGAGGGGGGGGGACTGGTATGGTAATAGCGATCTTACATGAAATCTAGGGGAAAAAAGGATGCCTGCATTGTGAATGTGGTACACCGTCTCTGTTGTACCAGCCCTCTTCTCCCTCCCCCAACTAATTTGGCCTGCGGTGAACCGATGGATACCGGCCACACAGAACAGTGTGATGGCCTTGGGACTGATGATGAAACCACCTTGACTTTGTCAATTTTCACTCTTAACGACTCTCCCTTCACCTAATGCCTCGTTCGCCCGAGACCATCACGGGTACCGTACCTTGTATGAATCGGTCGCTAGCAATATGTTGAAGTCGGTGTCTCTGTGCTCCATCTTTTCCCTCCTTGGTTGTGAGTCGCAGCTGTCAGTAGGTTGTGTTACGCGCCGTGCTGCCGGAGACTCTCCAGCCTTGTGTGTAGCCTGGAAGGGGCATAGAGAACGGGCGGGGGAAGGGGCGGGGACTCGGGGGCGGGCGCATACGTCACACCGAAACTCCGACGTTCGTCGTGTATATCCGGAATCACTCGGCTATATTGCGCGTTGGGCGGTCTTACATGCAGTTCTCAAGCTGAGCAGATGAGGGCAGTATTGGCCATCAAATACAGCTTCAACATAAGCTTTTGGACCTGCACCGTTGCTTGATTTATTGATTGATTTAATGTAGGAATTCGAGTAAATCTTAATTAAAGACCCTGCACGTCAAAATATTTTCATTCATTCACCCAGTGTACAGAACATCACATACTAGGTTCTTTCACCTGTAAGAATAGTAATGGTGAAAGTTGTCTCACCTTCAACAGGTGAAAGTAAAAAGGCAGGTTAATGTTGGATAGTGACGAACACCATGCACATTTAACGTGAAGAAGCAAAAGTGAGTGAAAACACCTCGAGTACCTCTGTGGAATTAGTGATGTGGAAATCACAACAGCACATTAACTGTACACAGAAGTCTGTTTTCAGAAGATGATTGATTTATTCCCCTTATTAGGTAGATGCTCATTATTTTTAATCTTCTGAATAGGTCTAGATATCACTAACGTACAGATTGTTTTGTTATGTTTTTAGAAGATGATACAAAGGTAGAAACACATTTTTTTTCCCGATTTATCTTGATATCGAAAAATGTGTTGGACCTGCTCTTTTCCCACCTTTTGTCTTTTTTTTTTCACTTGAACTTTATTCTCCCTATAGGCTGATATGAGCTCTTTTTAGTTTAATTGACCCCTTTTATCACTTTGCTGTACAGCTGTTCGAGGTTATAAGAAACCATAAAAACTCATTCATGGGTTAATGATGTCTCACCAGTAGGTCTTGAGGTATTTCAAATATTAATTTCATTCAGTTTTAAAAAATGAAGGAATGAGATGGTCTTTGAGAAATTTATATAAGCATAAATACACCAAATACATCTATTTCGAGTTTATAGGTGGTTTTAAGTTTTAAAATAATCATCAAAAAGATGGACCTAGAGAATATTAAAATAAAAATAATTCAATTGATTCATAGCTGCATTTTAAAGATCCCCACCAGCCACGCCTGAAGCCAGAATGTATAAATATTTAACTGTTTTTCATTTTGAAAATTCCAACTACAGGATGGATGGTGTTTACAGATTTTCACCACGCCGTTGTTCCTTCCGCTTTCTGTTTTTGGAGTGTAGCGAGCAATTAGTGCTTATACATATTACATTTAACATTAAAATGTTGCCATATTGGATTGAAAATACACGTAAATAGTCAACCCCGTGGGCTCGAACGTACAGAAAAGCGGACACATGTATGACACACCACTGTGAAGTCGCTTGCTCAGCAGGCTGCCAGCGGCGTGAGAGATTCCAACCCTCCAGACTGATGCTCTCCTCGGCCTATGGCAGCGACATCCCGGCTCTGTGATCCCACTCGAGGGAGGAGCTACCTTTAGATTAACGCGACGTTTCCGCATGTCAATAAAAACTTTGTGAAGTCAAGAGGAAGAGATAGATAGTTAAAGGTAATATTTGTCGGAGTGCTCTACTCTACTTTCAGTTTTCAACCAGTAAAAAGTTTCGGTCACATGATATGGAGCCTGAGCAGATCCGGGCTGTAATTGCTGCCTCTTTTCAACTGCAGAGAGTATTTTTATTGGTATAAAAACCAAGGGACAGTAGCAACAGATATGTTGAGGACACAGCCAAAGTTCGACCTGCACAGGGATGTGGTGTCTGATATCCTCAGGAAGGAGGCGTCGGTCTGCAGAGTAGAAGGTGAGGCGTTCAGGTGCTAACGGTCAGCGTCTTTTCGATGACGGCCAGGTTTTAGTTGTTTTCACAGATAAACGAATATCTCACATAAAAGTAGCGGGTTCAAACGAAGTCGTGTTCTTCGTTCTTTCTATGCCTTTATCGCAGCTTTACTGTTATTATAGCCCCCCATAGGCAGTTTAGCCTGCAGTGGTAAAGTTCCTGTGATTTGTTTATTACTTCTTCTTTTTTTTCCTTTTAATTTTGACCACCAGATGGCACTATTTCATCAGTTACCGCACACTTAAATGCAGGGGAGATGAAACAACCTCCCGTTTGCTACAGCTCTTAGACTCAGTAACTGGAGCATAAGTCAAAACATCAACAGAAAACATCTAAAAAAACAAATAGAGAACTTAAAATACATCGTGAAAATAAAATGTTCCATGTTCTTGCTAGATGAAATATATGATAGTTGTTATTTTGTAGACAGTGCATGATGTCTAGTTGGGTTACTTTATATATTTACAGGCCTCTGCTATCAGACACTCGTTAGCTTGCGATAACAATCTATTACAGAGGGTAATTCTACTACTTATTTAGTATGTTCTGGATAAGCAGTGGGGTGAGATAATAAAACAGGCCAGGCAATAAAGTGTGTGTTCTGTGTCTGAAGAATACTCTGGAGCCGTCGACATTCGTATTGTGAATTTTGAAAGAGATGGGTGCATCCTTTATTCCTGGAAGGTAAGCCCACAGTGAAGGCATTGCATATTATGTGTTGCACATGTTACATACTGGACACTTTATTAGGTATGCTTTAATGGTGCTGAGCCCGACCCCATTTTTGCCTTCACAAGTGCCTTCATCCAACAAGCTGCTGGAAACATTACTCAGAGATTTTGGTCTGTATTGACACAATTGATGCTAATGGCAAATTTCACCCCATCCCAACAGTGCTCTGTTGAACTAATATCTGGTGACTGGAAGCAGTTTGAGCACAGTGAAGTACAAAGTGCACTGAGTGCTCAATTAGAATAAAGCAGCTCTATATAAGCTTCAATTCATTTACCAGTACAATTTTTCTGAAATACTCAGACCAGTCTGTCTGACACAAGCAACCGCAACACTTTTAAAGTCACTTAAATCAATTTCTTCCTCAGTCTGATGCTTAGTTTGAACTTCATAGGTTGCTTTGACCACATCTGCATGCCTAAATGAAGTGAATTGCTGCAATGTGATTGGCTAATAAGATATTTGCATTTGCATGTCAAATGCTCTGTCTTGAACTCACCAGATGTCCCATTTGTCCGCTAACCCCCCAAAAATAACACACTGTTGTGTGGGTTACTACACCTCTTAAGTGGCTTTTCTGTTAAATACAGCATTTTTATGCATATATTTAAAAGCTGCTTGTGTCAGTTCTTCATTGAAGTCGTACTAAGTCAGATATTTATATCTCAGAAGTCATTTTTTTTAATGGCTCCAACAGTCATCTTCAAATGGAAAATATCCAAAGAATAAAAAGAAATCTAGATTCGTTTTATTTCGCCATGTATCTGCTTGACACATTTAGTACTTTTGTGGAAATCTTGGGCTCCTTGGTAGAATGTAAAATATAATTTTCTGTGTTGAACCGCGCTCCTCTGCACAACATAAATTTTTAATGATGGACCCTCCAAGACTGTGTGGGTTTAGGAGGTTAAAGACAGTGTGCAGCCTGCAAAGGGAAAAGAATCTCTCTCTTTTTTTTTTTTTGTAGTGCAGGGTTTGAAATTTTATGCATGCCTGGTTGCACCTTGGGTTTCAGAGCAGACGCCCTTTTATTGAAAACCTTTTGAATGCAAAAATGTGAAAAATGAATCGATGGTTTGAAGCGGGGCAGGTCTTGTCTGGATGATCTGTAGGGTCGGCCATGGCAATAAAGAAGTCAAGGATGACTTTCCGTACATGCTGATGCGGTGAAGACGGCAGACTGAAATTAAATACTTCTTCTTGGTAGATTAAGATTGTACAATGTAATATTTTAATTAGTGAACTAATGTTCTCATAGGGAGCAACAGGTACCACCAGGATTGGGAAATATGACCCGAACAGCAAGAAGAATAAGGTACTGTGTTTGTGTTTGTGTGTCCCTATATTACTCCATTAAGTTTTGCACACTTTGCAATCATGCACTCATTCTCATGCGACTGTGCGCATGTGTGTTTTCCCCAACAGCTCCTGTACACATTTGACAAGCAGGTGTGTGTCAGCAGCTGTTCCCTGAACAAAGAGGAGACACTGCTGGGTGAGCCTCTGTCTTGTGCAGATAATGAATTATCAGCAACAACACCGGCTTCTTGAACTCAGATCAAGTTTAAATGCCCGTGTCGAGAAAGCAGTTTCAGATCATGCAACGCACGAACCCACAAGTACAAGACGAGATGATGCTGTTCGGATGCTGATTAGTGCCTGAAGAACCACCGGAGACATTATTGTGGGAAATATGTTCCAATTCAGTCATGTGACATGCCAACTTTGCTTTTTCTCTCCTAGCTGTCAGCTTGGCACAGAATGCCAGAGGAGAGGAGCGCCTCAAACCAAGTAACATCCCTTTTCTGTTTTATCCATAGACTGTGACATTAAACCTCTCTTGAAGCAGTGATTCTCAACCAGGGGTACAAATACCCCAGAGGTTATTTTTGGCAGTAGCCAGAGGGCTTAAAAGTACACATTTAAAGTAGTAAATTTAAGTGTGGCCTAACTGATACTAGCTGAAATTGTTAGCAGTATGGACAACTGAACAATATTTTATTTGGACCCAAATTCAGGATGCTGAATTAGAAAAGTTATCAATGAGAAGAAAACTTTATCCTGCAGAAGATAGCAGGATAATCAACTAGAAGCCTAACAAAAAGAATCATGCAACTGACAAAAAGCCAAGACAAAACAGGGGACTGGAAATGCCACAATTGCAAAAAGAAGGACAAAGGCAGGAGGTAAAACTTACCAAAAAAATGTGTTTGAATTGTCGACTCATTCACAAGATAAATTGTCAGACTTTTTCATTGCCGTTCTAAATTTCAGCATTAATATATAATGCCCCATAAAGTAGTGTGCAGAAGCAGTGCACACTGCACTCCACTGACTGGGACACGTGCACCAAGGCGTGTTTGTGTCAAAGAATGAAATATGCTCTGTGCAGTATGTTGTGAAGTGGCTTGCTTATGAAGTGT